CACATTACACACTCCGCTAACTTCAGGTTAATAATAATAATAATAATAATAATAAATTTTATTTATATCCCACCCTCCCCAGCCAAAGCCAGGCTCAGGGCGGCTAACAACAAACAAATAAACAATCAAATAATCCAACATTCTAAAACATTTCATTATAAAAATTAATTAAAATCAAATTAATGGCAACCGTTAAGCAAAGTTCTGTGCAGGTTGCCAGAGGAGGGAGTCAGGCTGGGCCCTGACCAAAGGCCTGGTGGAACAACTCTGTCTTGCAGGCCTTGCAGGAAAGATGTCAGGTCCCGCAGGGCCCTAGTCTCTTGTGACAGAGCGTTCCACCAGATTGGAGCCGCAGCCGAGAAAGCCCTGGCTCTAGTTGAGGCCAGCCTAACCTCTCTGAGGCCTGGGACCTTCAGGATGTTTTTATTTGCAGACCGTAGGTTCCTCTGTGGGGCATACCAGGAGAGGCGGTCCCGTAGGTACGAGGGTCCTAGGCCGTATAGGGCTTTAAAGGTTAAAACCAGCACCTTAAACCTGATCCTGTACTCCACCGGGAGCCAGTGCAGCTGGTATAGTACCGGATGAATGTGATCTCGCTGGTATTCCCAGCCTCAACAAGCTCAGTCAATGAGTCGCCAGGGGGAGCAAGGTCCTGCAAGGCTTGGCGGAATCTATCAGGGTCCATCAGCCTCTGCGGGCGAGCCCAAATCGGCTCGCCACCTAAGCAGGGGTGGGGGTGGAAAGTCAATCCTGGCTTTCAGAGCGTAGTGATCAGACCATGGTACCTTAATTGGAAGGAGACATGATCACATCTATACCTACGCCAAAGATCAAATCTTGATGTGTGGGGCCTGAAACAAACTGGGAGAGCCCTAGTGTTGCCATGGAAGACACCAGGTCCAGAGCCTGTGAGGAGGGAGGGGCATCAGCATGGATGTTGAAGTCCCCCATACCAATAGGTTAGGAACCCAAGGCCCAGCCGGCCACCGCCTCCAGCAGGCCTGACAGGGTGGCTGCTGGTGCGCTAGGTGGCCTGTACACCAGCCAGACAGCCAAGCTCACCTCAGAGCCCCATACTAGGCCAACACATTCAATGCCGGGATCGATGGCGATGGTAGAGCCCTGAAAGGACAATCTTCCCGGATTAATAATGCCACCCTCCCCCGGCCCACAGTCCGCGACTGGTGGAGGACGGAGAAACCCGGGCGCCATCTCACGTAGGTAACTGGTGCCCCTTCGCGTACCCAGGTCTCCGTCACACAAGCCAGGTCGACCCCCTGCGAGGTAAAGAAATCTCGCAGAGTGGCGGTTTTGTTGCCTATAGACCTGGCATTGCACAACACCAGTGACGGAGGTGAACTTTGCTTCAGGATAAGAACAGAAATGGGGCTCCGGGCAGCAGCGGCAGCAGGAGGTCCCATTAGCTAAAGTGGTGCTTCAGGTTAAGAACAGTTTCAGGTTAAGAACAGAGCTCCGGAATAAATTAAGTACTTAACCTGGGGTACCACTGTATCTCTCCCATATGCTCATTAGTAATTTCCCAATTATATGGTTATAAAAACTTTTATGTACCTTCCCTTTCCCATGCCATAAATATGCGTGCCTGCCAAATCTGTTGTCATGTCCTTCCAATTCTAATGCTTCTTGCTTTTCCAAGTTCACCCAGTTCCTAATCCATACAAGGCATGCAGCTTCATAATATAATGAAAGATCTGTGAGGGCAAAACCAGCTCTGTCTTTTATGTCTGTAAGTATCTTGTGTTTTATCCTTGGCCTTTTGCCCCGCCCCTCCTCCCCGATAAACTTGGAAATTTCTTTCTGCCACTTTTTGAAACATTCATCTTTCACAATTACTGGGACTGATTGAAAGAGGAATAGCATTTTTGGCAGAACATTCATTTTAACCACTTAAATTGATCTATTCTAAATACTGGCCTATGCAATAGCCTGATCTATTTGAAAGCTTAAAATGCATGAGAATCCTCCATTAGGGTGTAGGCAATAAAACACTATACATTGAACATAAAAGCAATTATACACAAAAATTGGGTCCCCCCTTTGTGGAAATAACATACTGTCATTCACATGTTAGCATTCCTACATAATATCACACAATACACCACATACTAATTAAATATCAGTTGCCTATCTTGAGGCAATTGTGATCTTTTACATATCTTTTCAATCCTGGGGCACAGAGTCTTGAGGTTTAAAAGGTGAGAGAATGTGCTTGCAATTCAACTTTCTCCCCTTTGTCAGCCCCCTCCCTGTCCATCTATATCTTTGGAAAGAGATAGCTGTGGCCACTCTGGTGTCTTTTGTTATTGTTGTTGTTGTTGCAGGTAATAAATAGTCTTGTGGTGACGAGGTCTGTGTTGACATCTGTAGAAGGGATATCCTGTAAGCGGGGGGTGGGGGGGGAGCAGGACTTTTGGGACTTAAAGACACAGTTATAAAGGGAAGAGGTAAAAACCAAAAAGGGGAGAATCTCCTTGAGTTTTCTTGGGAAGCTGCAAGCATTTTATTCAGTTCACTATTATTATCTTAGAGAGTTAAGCATTTTATTCATTTCAATATTATGATCACATTTCCATATACCGGTATTTACTACTGTTATTATATGCTAAAAATACAAAAAAAGTAAAAATATAAAAAGAAAACAAAAGTAAGAAAGACAGATTACCAGTTAAACATTTTTTCCCAGATAAAAAAATAAATGGACAAAGATAGCAGATTTTTAAAAAAGTTATTAAATATTAAATAATACAAAGATATTATCAAAACCACATAGATTGTTACTGGACTGGAACCTTAAGGACTAGGAGGTGAAGGAGGTGATGGTGAAATGGGCACATGATTGTGGCTATCCAATCAAGATGAAAAATGGGGGAAATTATGAAAAAAGACTTAAAATTCACCACATGCTATCAGATTTTTAGATGGTACCTGACCCCATCCAAATCAGTCAAAATAAATAAATATCAGCAATAAGTGTTGGAGATGCAGACAAAATGAAGGAAACCTTATTCCACAAGTGGTGGACATGTCTCAAAGGGAAAATAAAGTAAAATAAAGTAAAATAAAATAAATGCTATTTATTTTAAAGAAAACAAAGCTTTGCTATTTGATATTCTAACAATAAGCATACCAAATGAAAATAAAAGAGTGTTTCTTTACACGACAACAGCGGCTAGGATGTTAATAGCAAAATACTGGAAAATGAGTTAATATCAACAAAAGATGAGTGGCGATTAAAGTTGTGCTAGTACCTTGAAATGGCCACAATGTCAGAACTTCCAAGAGACTGAGATCTACTCCCAGTAATAAAAATCCTGCCAGTGATCTACCCATTGTCTTTGCCCAGAGTTCTTGAGCTTTTCTTAGGGAGCAGTGACCAGAGTGGTGGATCGACCACTAGATCATTTAACAAATTAAAATTATATAAACAATCGTGCTATAAAAGTACATGCCATATATGAAGTATCAAGATAATAGAACTTTTAACAAAGTGGTTTCTTCTGTGAACAACAAGTCTTAAAATGTATATAGACAGGCGCAGCATTGATTTTAGCTACAGGTGACAGAAATCTGCAGCTGTAAGGTTTTCTTCTTAAAGTGACCCCTTTAAAACAACAAATGTAAAACAAACTTTATCCATACACAGGTTTGTTAATTTGTCAAAATATGTTGAATTATGACATTATATTCATTTATATTACTTAGAATATGTACAACGGATGGAGCCCATGAGAGAGAAACAAGACATTATTCCAAAAATCCTTGTCAACACTGTGGAAGTGTAGTAGGCTCCAATTTGGACTTTATGAACGTATGTGGAACAGAAACTAGCAGACATTTGGTCTTTATGAATGAACTTTTTTTGGGACTTATGTCTATATTATTCCACTTTATGTGTTGTTTATGTGCAAGATAAACCTTTGATATTGTGATAAGAATATATAGAAGAGTATTGTTTATGTGAATGCACAGCCGGATACGTCTTGTGTGTTTGTACATTCAAGGAACAGCGTTCCTGACCCAGATTTTCACAGGAAGTCCCTCAGATGATTCCCCTTTCAAACAGGATACGTGAACCTAGGCCAGTAGGGTCCTCCTCTCTGGCAGACGGAGAACCTCTTCCTCAAATCCCCTCCCTCCCCCACTTCCCCATGGGGGTCCCCCACACCACCCATCACTCACCAGGATGGCTTTGGCCATCTCCTGCTTGGAGCACTTCAGGGTTCGGAGCCCCCTGAGCTGAGCTGCCTGGCAGTTCTGAATCACCTCCGGCAGGTACAGCTGATCTTCCTCCAACAGCTGAAAGGCAAAAGTCAGTTCCTCACGAAGGGAGGGCTTCTCCACCTCCAAGAGGGCAGAGTGGGGGGCAAGGAGGGCAGGTCTGAGTCCCTGCTCTGGTTCTCTCCAATACTCACCTCTGGGGAGGGATGTGCAACCACAGCACATCTGCAAAGAGAAGGACATGGGGACAGGTGAGTCCGTCCCTGAGCACCTGGCAAGGCTATTCCAAGAGTTTTCTCCTGGATTCCAAGCCCTACTGCAGGGGAGGAGGGACTCCCCAGGCCTTGGGGGCACATCCTGGCCTCCTTCAACCAGAATATGGCTCCCCAGGCCAGGGGTAGGAAAGCTAAGGCCTAGGGGCCGGATGCGGCCCAATCATCTTCTCAATCCGGCCCGCGGATAATTCGGGAATCAGGATGCTTTTATATGAGTAGAATTTGTCCTTTTATTTAAAATGCCTCTCTGGGTTATTTGTGGGGCATAGGAATTTGTTTATCCTCCCCCAAAAATATACAGTATTTTTACGCCCTATAGGACACACCGGCCCATAGGACGCACCTAGTTTTCAGGGGGAAATCAAGGAAAAAATATGATTCCCCCGCAGCTCTGGGAGCAGCGGACAGGCTGCACGCAGCCTGTGCGCTACTCCAAGACCACCTTCCTGCTTTTGCGGGAGGTGGCGGAATTCCCCCACCTCCCGCAAAAGCCCACAGGAGCCGCGTGCGACTCCTGCGGGCTTTTCGACCAGGAGGGAGAAGGGACTGAAACGGCCAGTCAGTCCCTTCTCCCTCCTTGGGGAAAAGCCCCCAAGAGCGGCGCGCTCTTTAAAGGCTGCGCGGCTCCTACGGGCTTTTCTACGAGGTGGGGGAATTCCCCCACCTCCTGGAAAAGCCAGCAAAGCCGCGCAGCCCCTTTAAAGAGCGCACGGCTTTTGCCTGTTTTTACGGGAGGTGGGGGAATTCCCCCATCTGCCACAAAAGCCCACAGGAGCGAGAAGGGACCGACTCCGCCAGTCAGTCCCTTCTCCCTCCTTGGGGAAAAGCCTGCTTTCCCCCACCGCCAGCCTCCAAGCCGGGTTGGAGAGTAGCAGGAAGGCGTCGCGCGCCTCCCCGCTGCCCCCCATCCTCTGGGGCTGGCGATGGGGGAAGCACTGCTTTCCCCCACCGCCAGCCTCAAAGAGCAGACTCTCCTGGCTTCAGCAGAAGCAATGCGAAGCCTCTGGAGCGCAGGCTTCGGAGGCTTCGCATTGCTATCGCTGAAGCCAAGGAGCCTGCATTCGCCCCGTAAGACGCAAACACATTTCCCTTCATTTTTGGAGGGAAAAAGTGCGTCTTATAGGGCGAAAAATATGGTAGTCTGGC